CATACAGGAGTTTGCCCGGTTTTGTGTAACTATGCCTCGTGCTACTCGTCTCTCTAACCAGGAACAAGCTGAAGTCGGAGCACTGTTTGAAGCCGGATGGTCTAGAAGGAGGATTGCCGCCCATATCGACCGGTCACGCAATAAACGAATACCTGCGGGATCCTGATCAGTACGAGATGAAGAATAGTCCAGGTCGACCACGGCTGCTTTCTGCCCGAGATGAAAGAGCAATTGGGCGTGTTTTGTCAAATTCAACGAAGAGCCTGAACAGGGTCCGCGCTGAAATGGGGCTTCGTGTGCGCAAAACCGCTGGAGGGTAACCCAGCGAAGCGAAAGCACCACCAGAGAGTTGATGAGGCGGGTCCCAAGACTATCGGAGCGACACAAGGTGCACGACTCCAATTCGCCGTGAAAAATGCCCTATTTGATTGGACGAAGGCGCGGCTATTACGAAACCTTGCAGTCCTTGACTCCATATCTTTATTTTAGGTTTTAGGTAATCTGGAGCGACGAAAAGAAGTTCAATCTAAACGGACCTGACAGTAGAAGAGGGTATTAGGGGGATCTGCGCGAAGCACCCTTGGTTTTGGAGCGACGTAATTCTGGTGGAGGATCTCTCATGGTTTGGGGCGCCTTTTGGACAGCTTGAACTTGCTTTTGTTTTCTGTCTTATGGATTCCGTAGAGCTCCAGAGAGTGCTGGAGGAGCGACTTTTACCGTTTCTTACCCACATCGGCGTCGTTCATTGATTTTATGCACGATAACGCGGCTGTCCATGTCGGTCGTTCCATTCGGATTGGATTGAAAGTAGAAATATCACAGGTCTGAGTGGCCTGCATGCCCACCAGACTCGAATCCAATGGAGAATGTCTTTGCCTTCATTGTGAAGAAGATCTACGACGAAGCAATGCAGTGCAACACAGTCGAAGTGCTCGAACTGTCCGTACTCGACGCTTGGACTAATTTGGATCCCAATTTGATAACTAGCTTGGTTGAGAGCATGAGTGCACTGGTGAAGTCCTTTTGAATGATGGAGGAGCAACCCACTAATAAGAAGTTGTTACANAAAAGGTTAGAATACCTTCCAAGGAAATTATTTCAACAATTTTAAAGTGAAATTTCTTCGCAAGTTCTGTACTAAGGTTTCCCGTTATGAGAAATCTATGAATTAATGAATTGCGGCAGCATTTTCCAAAAGTGTGCTGCAAGCATGGAACTGCAAAAATTCAGGGCGGCCCTATATTATGAAACGCAGATGAAACGCAGTGTATTGGACTGTGTGGTTAATCGATAATACAGACTGGATTTCCCAATCTCATCCCAAATTCAACATCGAAAATTCAAGTCGTGCCTTCCTGTGGTGGTCGGTAAGCCTCGGAGCCCTCTTCACTGCTGCCCTGACAGTGCTGCTGCTCTTTTTCACGGCTCTCCATTCAGTAGTTTAGGACACCGAGAGACCCAACTCTGGTCGAACTTTGTTCAGCGACAAGGTTTTGTCCGGATTGGCTCTTAGCATTCTCCTCTCGTCTTCGCGGTTAGCTTGCGCGAGCATCCTGTCCTCGTGTGGGCTCTGTAGTCTTCAAATATCTTTGAACGGGGCTGAGAGATCTCACGATTCTCCTCCTAATTGTCAGCGTACTGGACCATGTTTCACGAAAATTTCGATTTTGTGCTTCATCTTCTGAAGAAAGATGACCTCCACGAGGCAAAGTGCATATTCCTTCCAAACATATTTGCGACACATTCTCTCTTATACAGATCCCTCCCAAAGCAAATTCTACCGCACTAGATTTCGAAACCTTCGCGCTGTCGGGGGTGACTCTATGTCCATAAAACGACAAAAATCGAAAGTAATCTATATAAATGTTAATATGAAAGTTGAGCAAAGCAAAGCAGGAATATGAGGGTTATTGAAGGTGATGAATCTAATGGTGGTGCCAGAATGATAAGTGCTTGGCTGCTTATCCCATAAATACCAAATTTTAGGGTGATCTCATACTTATGAAACGCACTGTGTACAAGGCAGAAACGGTATACTCTATCCAAGAGGTGTGTCGGTTGACCTCATTCGAAGATTTGAGAGCCACCTGCAATGAAACTCTGATGTATATGCTTTCTGACTCCTTAATACGTTCTCGTTCAACCATAAGATTCTGCACGACGTTCTCTTCCGTTCTGAAAACGGATAAGCACATTGGACAGTTTCTAGAATGCCTTAAAATACTCAGCGAAACGTTTCTGGTCACGTTAGGTGTTCTTTGTTGCCTTCATCGATCAGTATTTTCAATCGAGGAGTGGTGGAAATTCATTCCGTCCTGAATTTAGCCCAGCGACTTTAGTGACTTTAGTATCATGAGAACTGAGGCTCTTAGGTGTTTCCACAATGTCCTCTCGCTGCTATAGTATTGAACACTTCATCAGTATAAAGTTCGTAGAACAGAATCTTTCTGGCTTATGATGATTACGTTGTTGCCTGAGAAAATGACCACCAATGCAGATGCCGTGCCATAACCCCTGGCAAGGCCTCGTTTTTGTTTGTAAAACTTATTGTAGAAGCGAAGAATGTTGCCCTTTGATTTGCTAAGATGAACTGACTCAATTTCAAGAACCAGAAGACCAGATCATCAAGTAGAACAGATTTATATGACATGTGGCATTTGAGAATTCACTTTTTTGTCTTTCTAAGCCTCGATCCACGGAATTTCCATTTGACGATTTTTTTTCGAGATATAGACTGAATACTAGTTCTCGAAATCATGCTTTGTACAACAGTAGCCCAAAACCTCTTCCCAATTTTCATAAGGAATCAGCTCAATTTTTTCGAAAAGACTATTCAAGTGCCTGCTTTGCCTATCTTCCTTGTTGCTAGTTCCACAGAACTATCCTGTTATACATTTTACGCAAACTCACACGCAGTATTCAAACTACTTCATTTAGGCTACTATTCACTTTTTTTGTTAGAGTGAGTAATAATGCCGCTCGTATTACAGATATGCTCGGGTCTGCTCATTTTTCGATACTAGCGATCGATACTGTTTTGTTCATAACAAACCGCAAACGTTTGAACAAAGGCTGTGCTCATCAAGAGCACGAAAGGAGACAATCACAAAAAGCTGTTCTTTTAGAGGCCGCACGTGAGATATCAGTCATTTTTTTGGCAAATTTTAAAATAGAATTACTCCTTAGTTATGCCACCTTCTTCAGATTAGAAGCTGTCATATTTTTATCCATCGCTCTTCCATCGGTAACACTGCTGGCCGTTCGTTTTATACGAGGAAGGACTTCTGCACTGTTCCACAAATTTTCCTGACGTTGATGAGAGTCAAGAATTGAATACAATTGTTTTGATACCATGAAATTATATTTATTCCGAACAACTTATTCTACAGTAGTTTTCCTTGTACACCCGTGCAAAATTATCACTTTTTGAACGACTACGGCTACGATATGTTCAGATGCCGTTGAAGAGATCGGTGGAGATCTAGAGAGCATGAGGACTTGGTCATCGTGTTTCATATGTACGTCATGCTTGACTTTCTTTCCTTCGTGTTTAAAAGACGTTCTTCACTGCTGATGATTGGTCTTTGTCCCTGAAGGGAAATAATTCTGATGAGGTTGTATTTATCAAATTACATATTTATATGTCTAAGAAGAAAGAGCTGAATATAATTAGTAGTTTACTGTTTGTTCAAATAAAAATGTTGATACATTAGGACGGGTCACTCAATGTAGTACCTGCTCTACTTAGCAACAGGTATTGGCTGCTTCATAGTCCGCCGGCCGGCGCGCCGGCGTGCCGGCGGAGGCAGTGCTAGCGGGGAGGAGGGAGGCAGACAGATAGGCAAACAGTCCACGCCCCTTCGAGGGGTTGAAAGCAAACAACCTTCGAAGGGGCGTGGACTGTTTCCCTTACACTGGCGGACCATGAAAGCAGCCATTCGACCATGTCTGATTCGGCTAATACTGGAAAGTGTCCCATCCGAGAAATGGGAATACCAACTTCGACGTCCGTTGGGCATGGTTCAGATTTGTTTTCACCCTAGTCTTACTTGTTCAAAGAGATGGTCAAAGAACAATAGAGCAGTTACAAAGAAGTGAATGATCACAACGAGGCATATACCCAACGTAGGGGTTGCCTAATGTCTGCATCATGTACGCAAAGTTAAGACGAAGGTGTGGGTTATGAAAGGTCTTATGTCAAGTTTCACAAAGTAGTTTTATTGGAGTGACAGCTCACCTTCCATTTGTTACGTGAGCTATCGTCGATTCTCGAGTCCAGCAATTGGGTGGTTTCATACTGCAAGGGGTTGGCGTTTGTTGTCTTTTTCCTTGGCTTTCGAACTCGGATACCAACCTGTTGCAGAAGCTGAAAACATCGTACTTACACTTAGTCAATTTTTGATGAGGGAAAGGTATTCATTTATGAACAATATGACAACGCCTTCTAGCAATTTGAGCACAATTTCAGTAGCCATCACTATGTACCTGAATGAATATGGTGCGATACTTGGTCCCGAAGATCAAATAAATTACTATTGTCGAGGCTCCGTTGAAGTTCACAAGCAAGGCAGATACCTGAAATGATATTAAAAGCTCTAGCATAAATTTGTCTAAATAAAGTGTAAAAGTTTTAACTAGTTGTTCATTAAAGGGTCATCGAATTGCTCCTAATACATCGAGGGCCGTGGTTGATTTGAACATTTATAAACGGTAAAGGAGAAAGTTTTCAGTGTTAATCAATCAAGTCTGGGGGATGCGCCCCGCGCTCGACTTCCATTCAGAATCGTAGTGGCGTAGTGAGTGCGTATAAGGCCTATACATGACCTGCGGTGGCCAGCCGATGTACAAGCCACTGCTTTTATACTCCTAGGCGAGCCACGTACCAATTAACCAATTCCGGAGGGATGGTAGGTTTGGTTGGCTTAGGCGGATATCGATCCGGGATTTGAACCAGTGGCCATGCGTATGTGAAGTGCGCCACTTGCAACTACACCACCTCCGCCCTTGAACATTTATACTTGCAAACAAATCGAATTATGATATATAATTAATTTTAGTTCCTCTCATTTCGAAGTATCTCGCCCATAGGGAATATTTATACGACCTCTTTTCCAGTCTCGAAGCATTTTCATCCACAAGCCTCAAACAGAATTTGAATATTTTATGATGATGAGCAGTTTCCCGATAAAGGCATGCCCGGTGTCTTTGGGTCTCTAGGCTGTCCTGGAATCAAGTTGAAATTCTCAACTTAGCACCGTCCCTTAAAGACATAGCTGAAGAGCTAAATCCTCAGCCCGCCGCTGTTGAACACCTTAGCCTCATACGTTAGTCTGCTGTTCACCCTTGCCCGTCTCTATTCAGGTGTCCGAGGTGTTCTTAAACGAAGTCAGAGAGACTTTTCCTTCATGCATCGCCCATTTTATTGCATGTCCCTTCCCACTAGGTGACCCCCTTAGCTTATGTGAGCTTTACACAATCCTTTGTCCCAAACATCTCAAACTTGACTGGGCTTCCCTAATTCCTTCGCCACATAGTACAGAATTTCGTAATAAGTAGCACACATGGGCTGTTTTCCTGGTCCGCCGGCGTGCCGAGTCAGTGCTAGGGGGAGGAGGTAGCCCTTCAGCGCTGAAAACAAAGAAAAACAAGATCAAAAACCATTGGCATAAGCCCCTGGTTGTTTAGTTTTTGATCTTGTTTTTCGTTGTTTTCAGCCCTTCGGAGGGGCTGACCGACCGTCTGTCTCCCTCCACCCCCTAGCACTGCCTCGGCACGCCGGCAGGCCGGCACGCACGCCGGCGGAATATGAAAGCAGCAATGCATGTGACATACAAACAGCCATAAACGCATAAATGTATACAAAATGCCTTTTATGGTGAGGAAGTTTACGATCATGTCTATCTTCTCGCGAATCGCGGCTTTGTTCAGGCAAGCACAGGCCGGAGAGATAAAGTATGCTCTAAGCTTAGCATCCTACTTATATAATCGGCTAAGTGTGTCTGTTGGTGGGTTTTGTGTATGTGTGTGTGTCTGACCGGAAATTCATAACTCCTGTCCCCGTGGACCGGAAGCGTTCAAATTAAGTAGCAGTACAGGTGGCTGGATGGGAACATTTGTGGTGGTTGGCAGGACGGACTCCGCCCACAGGGGGCGGGGTTTGCGCTGAATAAACTTCTGAGTGAGAATTCAGAACTTTTGTTGCCGTGTGCCTAAAGTGTTCAAATTTGGTAGGAGTACAGGCGGCAGAATGGGAACACTTATGGTGAGCAGCAAGGCCAGACTCCGCCCACAATGGGCAGAGTTTGAGCGAAAATTCATAACTTTTGTTCCCATGTACCTAGAGCGCTCAAGTTCGGTAGGTGTCCAGGGCGCAGAATGGGAACACTAGTGGTAGGCGGCAGGACCAGACTCCGCCCACAATGGGCTGAGATTGAGCAAAAATTCATAACTTCTGTTCCCGTGCACGTAGAGCGTTCACATTTAGTGGGAGTTCAGGCGGCAGGATGGAAACGCTTATGGTGGGTGACAGGACCGGTCTCACACAGGGGGCGGGGTTTGCAGAGTAATGTCAAAATGGACCTAGAGCGACTTGGTAGGAAAACAGG